AATTCCAGAGTTTCCCAGTCTGCCTTGCAAAGCCACTTGCTGTCTCCACTCTCTGCCCTGAGTATCACATCTCCTCCACCCAACCTGCTGAGAGCTCCAGCCCCGGGTCAGGTGAATTAACTATTCTTAGTTAAATAGCTTTGCCTCTAGTCTTAGTCTGATGACAGATTAACTCATGACTGGTCGGATTAGGGACTTACCTCTGGAACTAAATCACTTTTGCCTTGCAAAGCCACTTGCTGTCTCCACTCTCTGCCCTGAGTATCACATCTCCTCCACCCAACCTGCTGAGAGCTCCAGCCCCGGGTCAGGTGAATTAACTATTCTTAGTTAAATAGCTTTGCCTCTAGTCTTAGTCTGATGACAGATTAACTCATGACTGGTCGGATTAGGGACTTACCTCTGGAACTAAATCACTTTTGGATCTGAGTTATGGCTATTAGTTGTGGGTAGCTCAGCTGAACAGCTCTTAGTGCCTCCTTTGTGCTCCTGAAGAAATGATTAACCACCAGGAACCCGAAGCCAAGAGCTCTTCTCACAGCCCCAGCGAGCAAACAGCTGATTTCTCTTCCCTTTGTAACAACAGCAGTTTTGCAGGGATTTTTTCAGGATAATTAATACCACTCCAAGTCTGGAATTTTTGTCCTATTCAATGAAATTGAAGCATATGAAACCGAAACGTGTTTTTGGTGCTGGTGTGGTTTTGAAGCACACAAACCCTCACTTTGTTCTGCTCACAGCTTCCCACGTCAACCTGCTCCTCTCCCCACGTGTTGTTCCTCTCACATTCCTCCAGCTGCAGGAGACACAACCAGCTCACAGAATCCTGGAATCACAGACTGTCAGGAGCTGGAAGGGACCCACAAACACCATCCAAGCCCAACTCCTGCCTTCATGGCAGCACCACTGAGGATTCTTTCCCCAGATTTCTGTTTCCTGGCAGAGATATTTATCCATCATTTTATCCACCACTTCTCCAGCTCATCAGAATGGAGCCAGCTTGGAC